AATGAGATTAGTCTTTACCGGGGGGGGGGGAGAGTGAAAGAGAGAGAGAAAAAGAGAGAGAGAGAGACAAGGAGAGAGAAGAGAGAGAGAGAGAGAGAGAGAGAGAGAGAGAAAAGAGAGAGATTGAGAGAGAGGGAAAAAAAAGAGAGATAGAAAAAAATATAGAGATTGAGGGAGAAAGAGATTTAAAGAGTCTATGTGCGTTCAGATTCTCAGTTTTTGATATATATATTCAATTGGTAAAATAAGCTTATTTTTAACCAATATATCTGCTAAAAGTTCTAAGAAGAATCCCTGTTATANTTATTTTTAACCAATATATATGCTAAAAGTTATAAGAAGAATCCCTGTTTTACCCCCCTCAAACCCCCCCCCTCTTTTTCAAAAAAAAAAAAAAAAGGAACTATGAGTAAAAAATAATTCTGTCACTTTAAAAATGTTTCAGATTTATATTTTTTAAACGAAACCTCAACTATTTTATCATACAGAAAAAAAAGAACATCCTCACATATAACTCCGTTTGTGGAAATAAGCATTTTTATTTTTATGAGATACAGTATTGGGCAACCCAACCACTTAACAGCCGCCTGGAGCCTATTAGTGATCATTTATTTCACACTCCAATAGCGTTGTGTTTGTCTGAGTAACTCTGTGGCTGCATTCGTGGACGTCTGGTGTAACTCTACCGTTTAATTCTATCAGCTCTCCTTAAAAAACAGATGTTAGACATCTTTAGCTAGCCAGAAAAAAACTTCGCTCCTGGACCACCGGTGTTGGGCCGGCTGTGATGCTCGAACAATTCTATCGCTTTTAAATTAAACTCTGCATCAATACCTCTGCAAAAGAGGTTCTTTCTATTTCCAGCCAACATGAATAGCTGACCAAGTGTGGATGTTTCGTAATGCCAGCCAACATGAATGGCTGGCCAAGTGTGGATGTTTCGTAATGCCAGCCAACATGAATGGCTGACCAAGTGTGGATGTTTCGTAATGCCAGCCAACATGAATGGCTGACCAAGTGTGGATGTTTCGTAATGCCAGCCAACATGAATGGCTGACCAAGTGTGGTTGTTTCGTAATGCCAGCCAACATGAATGGCTGACCAAGTGTGGATGTTTCGTAATGCCAGCCAACATGAATGGCTGACCAAGTGTGGATGTTTCGTAATGCCAGCCAACATGAATGGCTGACCAAGTGTGGTTGTTTCGTAATGCCAGCCAACATGAATGGCTGACCAAGTGTGGATGTTTCGTAATGCCAGCCAACATGAATGGCTGACCAAGTGTGGATGTTTCGTAATGCCAGCCAACATGAATGGCTGACCAAGTGTGGATGTTTCGTAATGCCAGCCAACATGAATGGCTGACCAAGTGTGGATGTTTCGTAATGCCAGCCAACATGAATGGCTGACCAAGTGTGGATGTTTCGTAATGCCAGCCAATATGAATGGCTGACCAAGTGTGGATGTTTCGTAATGCCAGCCAACATGAATGGCTGACCAAGTGTGGTTGTTTCGTAATGCCAGCCAACATGAATGGCTGACCAAGTGTGGATGTTTCGTAATGCCATGGCAGCCAACATGAATGGCTGACCAAGTGTGGATGTTTCGTAATGCCAGCCAACATGAATGGCTGAACAAGTGTGGATGTCCTAAACAGAGTTAAGATATTATTTTTGAATTAACATGGACACATGTATTTCATTGGATGTACCCTTCGAAAGGGTTGTGTGATCTTGTGTGAATGTTGTTTTATGTAAATTGGGGCCATTTACTGTCGCTGAGCCCCGATACCTGGGACTGCCAACTATTGGCACACTCGGAAAGTTATTTTCTATAATGTTTTCCACCCCCAACGGGGAGAAATATAAGAGCCAGCACATTTTTTTTTTTTTTTTACATAATTTTTTTTTAAACAAATTTTTTTTCTGAATTAAATAAATAATAATATAAAACTGACTAGAGATTGGCGCGAAACTAAACGTGAGCTAAATCAAACTGCGAAGCTCTGAAAATAATAATTTAATTGCTGCAAATTGTGTGTATAACAGTGAATTTGCCAAAAAAATTCTGGGGATTGACTTACGGAATCTACAGTACCAACACCTTTTTACCTAAAAAAAAAGGCTCTGCCCCCACCCCCCTTCTTTTTCTCTACACTTTCAAGGTATAATTATGGTTGTGGCGCCACAAATTCGCAAATGTTATAAAGAGGTCCCGGCACTAAAATGTTGAGATCCGCTGGGTTAGGTTTTTTTTTTTTAAATTAATCTATTAGTGTTTCGGAGACTTCAAACTTTGATGCCCTCGTGATGGCCACTGGTTCAACATGAGCTTTTGACTTCTCCCCACTTGGTGGAACACATTCAAGAAAATGAGAGGACTACTACTTTTTATTTTTATATTTTTGTAACGCCGGACTCGGACCCACCGGGTATGGTCTCAAAATGTCCAGGTGTAAAAAAAAATGCATCGGGTGTAAAAAAAGAAGCATCAGGCTCAACCCTATTATTATCTCTTTTCAAGAAGCTTCCAAAAAATCACCCTAGCGCCTAGGGTCTAGGGCAACGGTTCTCAACCTGTGGGTCGTGACCTCTTTGGGGGTAGAACAGGGGTTGCCTAAGGCCATCGGGAAAAAACACACAATCTACAGTTGTGAAGTCTTAGTAGAAACGAAAATAATTTTGTGGTTGGGGGTCGCCACAACATGAGGAGCTGTATTAAAGGGTCGCGGCATTAGGACGGTTGAGAACCACTGGCCTAGGGCCTAGGCGCTAGGGAGCGAAAACTCGTAGCCTTGTTATTTACGTCACTGCTTTGGGCAAAAGCACAGAGCGGGGAATTGTTAGACTTCAAAGGAACTGCTTAGATTAATATCTTTGTGTATTGTCTGTCCATGTATTCGATCAAGGATTGCGTTACTTAATAAAATTATATTATTCATGTATGATGCATCGAATGGTGCAATTCAGGAATGATTTGTACATAGCGATATGCAATAAATAAATCCATTGATGAATGTAGACAAATAAAATAACTTGGGCACACGAATGATAGGAAACGGGATGACCTGTCAAGTTAGCGTACACAACATTGCTCAAATAACATTTAAAACAGGGATAGTATGGCCTATGCATGGGCGCCCGCAAGGGGGGGGCACTTGCCCCCCTGGATTGATTGGATAAAAAAATCTTAGACAAAAATAGACAAAAAATGTATTAAAGTAAAGAGAAAATAAAGAGAAAGTAACTAAGCTGATGTGCTGTCCGTTCGTTCACCATACAAATACGCTACAGTAAATTAAAATTAAATTAAAACATTACTAAAAAATGTTTGCCCTCCCCCCTGGAAAGTTAATCGATCCCCCCCCCCTCGAAAGTTTTCTGCGGGCGCCCATAGGCCTATGTTGTTGTTTTCTGAATATATTTATGGATTTTATTTTACTTCCAATTCTCCAATCCCTTAAAGTTTAATTATTAGAAGTTATAGGTAGAAAAATTGCCTAATTTAAGTTATTTCACTTCAAATCTTAACTATGTAAAAATATTGTTAAGTTTTGTATAACGATATGATGTGCAGTACCGTTTATATATTATCCTATAAAGCAGGTCTGCACAACTCATAATGTAAGGCGGGCCGTAATACTTTGTGAAAAACTTGTGCGGGCCAAAGAAAATAGGACCGGGGGGGGGGGGGGGGGGGGGGGGCTATTAAGAAATTAATAATTATAAAGAATATTTCTTACTTCGCGGGCTACAAAGTGGGTGCTGGCGGGTCGCATGCGGCCCGCGGGCCGTATGTTGTGCAGGCCTGCTATAAAGTGCTGTCTTTAGTTTTTTTTTAGTTTTTGCTCAGTGATATTACGACAGTGGCGTAGGAAAAAGGGTACGGAGGGGGCAGTTTTTTGTTTTTTAGGTTTTTTTGGGGTTTTTTTACGGAGGGGTGGCATTTACGGTCTGGTTTATTTTGTGGGGGCGTGTCAGGTGGGTGCAGCAAAATTATTAGACCACAACGACACGCATTCAAACAAAAATAATCTTAGTTCCCAAATTGTTGTACACGCAGGATTGTATGCTCAAAATGCACCCCCCACACAATACAAGAAAAAAAATAGGCAACATTAGCACCAAAACCTATTTTAAGTATATGTAAAAGATATTTTTAAAAGCATAACAAATCAATTGTGACTGGATCATGTAGTGGAGTGGATCAAGACCACTCAGAGACAGGGCTGCCGATTTTGAAGAGAATGGGATAAAGATATCAAGATTTTTTTTATGATTCAAATAATTTTTTGTATGAACTGAATAGCGGCTATGCGTACCCGGGTCCCTAAAGACTATATCCCATTCGGGTGTCATTTGTGGTAGTTCATTATAGTTAAACTGAAGAAGTAAGATTACAAACATATAATCCATTCAATTATCTTTCATTTGATACCTCATTTTGTCTTACAAACCCAACAGTAATATTTTAAATAGTTTGTTTTTTTATCCCAACCTCTCACTTCAGGTACCCGGGTGCGAATAGCCACTTCGATTTTTAAAATGTTGTTACTATAATAGTTATTTAAATGATAGAATTAGCATACTTATGCAGAGGCGTTTCATGCTTCTGTGCCAAGAGGAGAACAATGGCAGTTAAAGTGACCTAGTACCTGGAATATCCGGATAGGGAGATAACTCTAATAACACATCTGTTTTGTTACTGTTGTAGGCTGTTTTACTAGATCTAATTATTTACGTTGTCGATACGGTGAATTTTAATTTGAATCTTATTAATTGGTATTTATAATGAAAATTAATTTTTGTGTAATCAAGATGATATTTTTGAAATTTTAAAAACAGTTATTCTTGAGATTCGATTCATGTGTCTTTACTATAGTTCTATAATTTAACCTTAAAAAAAAAAAAAAAAATTTAAATTAAAAGCAGTCTTCTTACTTCTTACCAATATTGCCAATAATAAAAATTGTAATGAAAATTAATTTTTGTGTAATCAAAATGTTATTTTTTAAATTTTAAAAACAGTTATTCTTGAGATTCGATTCATTTTTCTTTACTAAAGTTCTATAATTTAACCTTAAAAAAAAAAAAAAAAAATTTAAATTAAAAGCAGTCTTCTTACTTCTTACCAATATTGCCAATAATAAAAATTGGTTCGAAGTTACACAACACTCTACTACTAAAATAGCCTACTTATCTATTCTCTACTTACAATAGCTATTCTAAAATTTATCATTACAATTTTGACATGGTGCAGGTAGTTGGCCTATTTTAATTTTAGGTTAATTTGAATAACATTAACATGGAGCATGCATGTTTAAGTTTTTAAGTTTAGTGAGCATTTATTTGATCTATCACATTTGCCAAAAATTATTTGGGGAGAGTGCATTTCCATTTACTTAGAATAACTTAGATTACTATACACATGAGTGTTTTCCAGGCTGTGTAATCCTAAGCCTAAGCCTTCTTTTTTGGCTTGATGGAATCTGAGAACTCTTCAACAAGGAATAAATTAAAACCACTCTCATTATACATATTAAATGGAAGAGCATAGAGAAAACGCTTATGCTTAGAGTGTATGGTATAATCTATTTGTTTTAATATTAAGGCTCAACATTCCTTTCCTGGCCTAATTCTTGTATAGATTAAACTCAAATTTTTTTTTTTTAAATACCCAAAGGTAATTGCACACTTGTTTCCCACGTTCTTCTGTGTTTGTGCATTACTATTGTTTTTCACACTGTCGCCATCTTTGTTGCCATGATACCAGATATGTATTGGCAATGAAGAGGGCGGCCATGTGAAAAGAAAAAGTAGTGCATAAACACACCTGCTTACAAAAAAATCATGAATGTAATGGACATTTTTTTTAAAGCTAAAATCCTTCCAATCTAAAATGTACAACTCTACCTTACCTGAATACTAAGTTAGTATCCCTAACTCAAGTGTAAATTCACCCCTAAATTAGTCCCCCTAACTTAAGCTCAAAATTAGTTCCCCCAACTTGAGCATAAATCTTCAAACCTAAAATTTATGACCTAATGTGAACCCTAAAACCATGTGTTTGTGTGCGACAGTTACACACTACTATGAAAATTGTAAAATATTCAAAATAAAGAAAACCCAATGTCCAGTTTCATCAAAATTTAATACACTTTTACTTTTTTTATAAATCCAAAAGATGTCAGAAAAGTCAAAATCCATTTTACATAATTATTACATAATGATGACCCAGTCAAAATGGCAGTCTAATAAATGGCCTCATTTTGAAATTTTATAATTAATCTCCAAATGAAATATTACTTTCAAAAAGCCATCAATCAAAAACATTCTATCTGCCTAATAATATAAAAAAAGAGATTAGTTAACTCAAGTAACCAGCGACTTAACAAAGGGGATTTCACTCATCAGGATCTCTGGAATTTCACTCATCAGAATCTCGGGAGTTAAACGTCAAGTGTACATTGTTCAAAATATGTATGCAACCTTTTTTTGAGTGGAGAGTCATTTTAATATTTATAAATTATATCTGCTAAGAAAATATTTAGGGAGTTGCAGGCAGGGTTAGATTTTTTTTAATTACCGGTAATCATGAAAAGTTTTGCATTCAATTTATAAAACATTAAAGAGACACAAGCAGTGCAAGAGCCAGGGGTTGCAAATCACTGAGCTAGGCTCTATCCAAAATAGAGTCTTTAATACTTATTTATAGTTTCTTTGACAATATGTTACATCTCTTTTGTTGATACCGGGGGTATTATAAAAGTACATAATTTAGTGAAGTTTATTCATTGGGACATTAATTTTGCATCTATCAAATCTCAATCAAATCCTTTCAGGATCATGGGGAAATCAAAGGAAAAGAGCAAAAGCAAGAAAAAGGACTATGAATACCGACATAAAAAGAAGAAAAGGTAAGAAATAACTAGACTATACTTAATATCACAAATTAAATAGTAAGGAACACAATGGGGTATAATTTAAAAAGCACCACAGCATTGCCAAATGTCACAAAAATTATTGCTTTACCTGGAATAAAGACATTAAAAGATTTTATATCTTATTATGACTTGTACTTGTATGCTAGTTAGGCTACATTTGCACGATATCAATTTTGTGATGTAAAAATTTAATGAAACTAGATATTTGTGGATATGAACTGATAACACTATTATAATTATATGTATGTATGCGTGCAATGCCATATGAAAACAAATGATCATATAACATTTTCATTGAGATTTTCATTATTTGTGGAATGCTGCTAATTTTTTTATACTTTTATGCTTTTTGATACTGTAATATCATTCTTAAATATGCTATAAATTTGTTTAATTTTTCTTTTGTTGGCAAATATAAATGTTTAAAACAACTATTTTGATAGATCTAGTCATAAACACAGATCAGACACTGACAGCTCAGATAATGACAGATCAGATTCCGATTCAAGATCAAGGTCAAGGTCTCCAGTTAAATCCAGGAAACGTTCACAAAGACGAAGGTCAAGATCTACATCAAAATCCAGCCATTCCAGCTCTTCCTTCAGACCTAGAACTGAATCTTTTGATCAGCAACCACACGAGATAAAGACAAAAGAAGAAATACAGTAACAAAATTGTTTACTAATTTTCTTTCGCTAAAATTTCAATTTTATCAGGTCATCAATGAAGGGTCGTAACATATGCTGTTTCCTTATCTAAATTCACTTTTGAAAAAGAGAAATATTAATTTCCAATTATTCCTGTTATTATTGTATGAAGCCTCGTGTAAAGGATGTATTATTGTAGAGTAAGTTCTTGCTTTTATCCTTTCATGATGCTTTTCGTGCGCTTGTAGTTAGTAAGGGGTAACAAAATTGCATAGCTGTTATAAAGACTAGTATATTACCTAATGCTAAAAGTACTTTCTTTGTGCTAATAGAGACATATTATATTGAGCTACAAATACAAATTTATTCCTTCCTTTTCAGAAAAGAAAAAGCATTAATGAAAGCTTTGGAGACACCAGAGGAAAAAAGAGCCAGGAGACTGGCTAAAAAGGTGTGTAACCTTTAAAAGATGGTATCAAATTTTAGATCAAAGACAATTCAAATTAACCCCACTACATTTTCCTTTTTTACAGAATACGTTTGGAAGTGTTATATTGATTTCATTGTTTTTTATTACGGTACTAATTGATCCTACTGATTTGTTTTAGCCTAAATGTCAGTAAATTTTTTAATGTCATTGTGTCTAAGTTCATATTTTTTTTAAATAAATTAATTCTTTTTAGGAAGCTAAAGAACGTAAAAGAAAGGAACAGATGGGCTGGGACAAAGACTACATAGTAGGTATTTTATTGATGCATGCACCACACTTCAAGAGAAAGTTTAGCCTAATAGAATTATTACCCATCAAATACCTAACATTGAATATTTAGAAAATAATTAATGAGAGTAATCATCTGCAAACTTTGTTTCTATTGGTTTATACAAGAAAGTGATCAGCCTACGAATTTTTTGCCTGGTTGAAGCTTGTACAAGGAATTTTTAATTTAGTTTTGAGGCATAGATTTATCCTGATTGATGTTTTGGATATGACACATTTTCATGACAAGAAACATCAAGTATTTCAGGACCTCAGTTCTAGAAAACACACAACCTGTGGATTGTATCTTGCTGTAAATTTTTGTGTAAAAATTTAATAATTTCTTTTTTGAATTAAGAAGGTTTTCATCAAATTTAATTAAAATTACTATCCTCAATCTGCGTACTCAGGGTTACACCAATGTGGATAATCCTTTTGGGGATGAACACCTCCTAGATACCTTTGTATGGACAAAAAAACTTGAAAAAGAAGGCAAGAAAGATTTAGTGGCCGAAGAATTGCAAGCCATCTCTCGCTCCAAAATGGTTCAAAACAAGGTAAGCCTAGTCTTCCTAAGAAGGAATCCAAAAAGGCAAAATAATTTTTTGTTAAAAGAGATCATATTGATATATTATTCTTAGTTCTTTAATTATTGGGAAATATTTGAGTATGAGACAATTTTTATTTATGATACCACAATAATCTACTTTATTTTATTTTAAAGAATAATTTGGACTTTTTAATTTAGCTCTACATTTGTATTTTAAAATTAGTTTTCAGCCTTAGCGTTTGTTTATGGTGTTCTTAGATTTCAGGATTCTTTGTTTGCTGCTTATGAAATTTTATTGATGAATTTTTAATATTCTCAGCTTGTTATTATTAATTGTGTTTATATTTCTTGAATGGTTATTAATTTGATCAATTTCCAATCTCAAAGATGTGATAGTGAGAAATTTAAATACAAGAACTTTGTTTCATTGTTTTTAAAACCACTTGGTAAATTCCTTTAAATTATTTCAAGAAATGTGAGAACTTATTTTACAATTGATTTCACCCAAGTCAACAAACAAATATTTACCCATAGAAGGTTATTTTTACTTGACTGTGTCATATTAAATCTGAAGCTGTTAGTTAATGGTAGAAAACAGGATTAATTGTCTTATGCTTATCGGTTTCTTTTTTAACAAGCCAGTAACAATTTTGTTAACAGGTTGAGCTGGAGAAAGTAAAGAAAAGACGCCTTGAAAGAGAAAGAGAACAAGAAGAGAGGGAGAGAGAAAGGGTATGTCTTGAATCAATATTTAATGGCATCAAAACATGAAATTTAATTATGCATCAAGTCCTTTTCATGTCATCCACCATTTCTTAAAACTATTCAAAGGTCATTGTTTTAAGAAACTTGAAGCATATATATATAGCCTTGATACAACTTTTGGGTCTGCAATATTTTTTTTGAAAAATTGTTTTAAAGTAATACTCTTTAATATAATGACAAAGCTTTTTTTTTTTAAAGAGTTGACATAAAAATAGTCATTGTTACATTACACAGGAAATGTTACAAAGAGAAAAGGAAGCAGATTACTACAAAGAATGGGAGAAACAGGAAGATGGGGTAAGTAACTCTGAGATTTAATAGTTTAGTCTGATTTTGTTTGCATGAGATCTTATAAGTGAATTTTCTTGTAATAAATAAATGACCATGCTTTCAAACTACATGACATTATATCATAACTTCTCAACAGTTTCATCTTAATCAAGCCAAGTTAAGATCTGAGATAAGGATCAAAGATGGCAGAGGTGAATAGCCCTTGTAACTTTTTCAAATATAATTTAATTATAAATTTAAGAGATGGTCATTATCTAATGTAAACATAAATTCAAATTGATCAAATAAATTTTTTGGCCTCTTCTATTTTGGGAGAAATATTTATTATTAATATTTAAATCAATATTTTAACTATTTCAATCAATCTCTTACAGATATGAAGGGGGAGGGGTGTTTGTAAACCCATGGAATTTTATTTCTTGTTTTTGTAATTCTTTAAATTGGTAATAGTGTTAAATTATTTCCTCAGCCAAGCCAATCGATTTGTTAGCCAAATATATAAGTGCAGAAGATGATGAACTGGCTGTTGAAATGCATGAGCCATACACATATCTTTATGTAAGTTATTTAATTTTTATCTGATTTTACATTTACATAAAATAATTAATCACAAAGACATGCTCACCAAGCAAAATATTAAAAAGGCTATACCTTTCTAATAGAGTAAAATTCAATAATAACTCACATATTTACAACATGGGAAAATTGATATCAAGTAAACATGCCCACAATTTAAAGACACTAATGTTGTTGATGAGATTTACCTTTCTAGAGTCTCATTAATATAACATAAAGATATTCACACAAATATTTTAATCAGATTTCAACAAGGTGGATATCAGATAACCTTTAGGTAACTTTAAACTGAAAATATAAACAATTTATGTAAATAAGGCAAAATAGACATATAGCATTCAGTCTACAAATCAATTTTCATTTAATTTTAGAGTAAGCTTATTTCTGTATGTGCCTACAATAATATTTGACAACCATTTTGTGTTTACATATTTTGTCTGTGATCTCTTCAGATTTAGGGGTGCTTACAGATTTGTCTATGTTGAATTGTGCCCAACATAGATCAAATCAGAGACATAAAGTAAACAAAATCCATAGTAACCACAACTCAGACTAAAACTAATCATATGGATTTTACAGGGTTTGACCATTCAAGACTTAGAGGACCTGCTGGAAGACATCAAGGTTTACCTTGAGCTGGAGGAGGGCAAAAATGCTGACTACTGGAGAGACATAATCACAGTCACACGGGATGAACTCGTCAAGCTACGAAAGGTGGATTCCAACACCAGAGGTAGGTTAGGGGAAGGTTATAGAAACCAAGGGGCAGATGACTCATCGGTAGGCTGTCGTGGACAGATGATTTGCAGTTTTATTTTGCATCAGCCAGGGATCATGCTTGGACACCAAAAAACAATGGATTGGTTTTCTCTACAAATGACCTCAACGCTATTCTTTATCCATGTGTAAATATAATTAAAATTATTTTTTCTCTTGGATACTTTTTCAATTGAAATTCCATGCCATTTCAGACAGAACACACACTTAGATTGTAACCAAATGTTGCATAAAATGTTTAGTTAGTATTCCATTATGATTGAGCATGTTTACTTTCATTAATTGTATAATTCAAATACTTTGCAGTGTGATCATCAAGCTCCCTAGGACTTTGGTTTGAAATGCAAAGTGTTTGTTAAGACATGAGGATTAGTATATTTTGATTTTTTCAATGAATTATTTATTGAAGTGTAACCTTTTTCTACTCTGGTACAGAATACATAGGGGATAGACGAGATGGAATCAACCAGGCTGTCACCTCAGAGATTGGGGATATTTTTAAAGGGAAAACAACCAATCAGCTCAAACTTCTAGAGAAACAAATAAAAGACAAACTTAGTGGTGGGGAGGGCATAGACATTGGTGAGACATTCTCAAATAAAGCTTTTTGTACTGTAACTCTCAGTTGATGTAATAGTAATGTTTTATTATTTTAAATATTGTGTGGCGAATTTTACTTTTTATTTGCCACAACTATTTTATAAAAAGGTTGCCTACCTTTGTCTAGGAATGATTATTCAATAATAATATGTTTCCTACGTTCAGAGGTAAAGACTCAACACAATTTTCTCATGTAATGTATCGCAGCCTTGATTTTTGTCATGTTTCAATAGTGAATATGACAAGTTTATGAGTTAAATTGTAATATTAATAGTGAATAAACAACTTTTTGAGTTAATTTGTAATAATGCAAATGACAAGTTTACTAGTTAATTTGTAACAGTACAGTAATAGAAAATATGACAAGTTTAGTTGTAGTAGTGAATATGTTGTAAACACGTTCAAACTTCACTGTTTCAGGTTACTGGGAGTCACTGCTGCAACAATTGAAAGCTCACAAGGCCAGGACGAGGCTGAGGGAGAGACATCAAGAAGTATTGAGGCAAAAACTCTTCAAGCTTAAGCGAGAGGTGAGGGATAGGCACAAGAGAACCAATTCCATAATATGATTCAAATGAATTTTATTGTGCCAACAGTTTTTGTCTTGATTTTATTTGATAAAGTTTTTTATTTACAAGGGTATCTGAAACTGTGCTTTATACAAGATCAAGGAATGTAGATAAAATTTCTGAAAAGAAACTATATGGATTATGTCACAGAATTGTTTTTTCATGAACCCACAACTTCATATTTCTGAGGGGTTTTAAAACATCTTACTGTTTATATTTATAATATATTGATAATGTTTGCCATCTTTGCTTAACGACCTAAAAGACAAATCTTTTGACTTAAATTAAAAAAATTATTTATATTATGCAAGAAACAATAAGTAATATCCTGGCATTTTGAAATCCTTTCATTAAAATCAAATTTATTGAAATTCAATACCGACTTGTAATGTTGCATTAATTACCCAGCCCTTACAAATTAAAACCAAGAAGTTCACAAATAAATTCCTCCTCATCCTCATGTCACTTAGTCCTTTGACCGTTGGGGTGCCACAGATGACATGTGAACCATCCTCCTCCATTCCTCTCTGTCTTCAGCACTACACACTGCATCGCCCAGTGTTAGTCCTGTCCACTCTTTGATGTTATCCTCCCACCTTTTTCTTTGTCTTCCTCTGCTTCTCCCTCCTCTTGTGGTGCCCTGCAATATTTCTTTGGCAAGACCTTGTTTCCTTGTTACGTGACAGTACCAATAAATAAATTAAGCAGAGAAAATATTATTGAAAATATATTAATGTTTGACATTGTTGTTTGCCTCATTGATTTTGTTGCAATCATTTATTTTAAAACTATTTCAGCAAGGAATTGAATCAGCACCGTTGTTTCCTGTTGTCAAAGATGAGAAAACAGGATCCAGTCCAAATGAAGTCATATCATCATCTAACCCTGGGGGATCTACAAAACAACACCAATCACCAAAGCCTGGATCATCCAAAGAACCGGAGGATACAGAAGAGTAAGGCTTATTCAATATTTGCCATCATTTCATTGGATTCAAGAAAACAAAATTCAATAGTTATTTATTATTTACTAATTTGCTTTCAGAGCATTGAACATTTTATATTAATTATATTTAAACATTTATTTTCAAATGATTGTGAAAAATAAAATTTAACAGCTGTTTCAAATAGAAACAACAAAAAAATCAACAGATACTGTCAATTGTATATTTAACATTTGTAAAAAATATATACCATATTTTCTGGCATATAAGACGACTTTTTAATCCATGAAAATCTTTTCAAAAGTCGGGAGTCGTCTTATAAGCCGGGGTCATCTTATGAGCTGGTATACGGTGTGCAGAAACTTCAGTGACAGGCACCATCTTGTTCCAGTTTGGTTGACAGCTTAGAAAACAAACGGCATGGCAGCTACCATGGGTTTATTGTCTTATCCTTCCTTTCACATGTTTTTAATTTTTATTTGGTTCGCGTTGGAATAGTCTTAGAGTGTAGCCCAAACAGGAAAAGTAGGGGGTCGTCTTATATGCCGGAAAATATGGTATTTAAGAGCTAAAAGAATTCCATCCATCCCTGTGGCGCTACAGCCCAAGTGGGGCTTTGGTCTGTCTCAGCACATTCTTCCACTCAGACCTAACTGATGCTTTTCTTTTCATTGCTTGGATTCCCAGCTGCTGTAGATCTTTTTCCACATCATCGATCTATTTAAGCCTAGGTCTGCCTTTGGGTTGTTTTCCTCAGGGGTTTTGGTGGTGCACCCTCTTCACCCCTCTGTCATTTGGCAATCGCTCTAAGTGTCTGCTCAGCCTAGTCCTGCCTTTTTTTTTACTTCTGCTACTATAGGTATAGACTGTTCTGTACAATTTCAGGTTGGTTCTTGTCCTCCATCTTCATTCATCCATTATTCGTCCATATATTTTCCGGAGAACTTTTCTCTCTCATGCTTAATATGTTTTCTGCTGTTTTTTGTTAGGGTCCAAGTTTCACTTGTGTATGATACAACTAGTCTGATTACAGTTTTATATATTGTTTTCTTTGTTTTTCTTGTAGTGTTTTACTTTTAAGTACTGAAGTATGCCTTGTTTCCGGCCGATATTCTTTCTTTTATTTCTGTTAGTATTCATTTCATTTAAAAATATCCTAGGTATATGAATTGATGTACTTTTTCAAAAGTGCGATTTCTAATTTTAATGGTTTCTTCTGACGGTTCTTCATTTAGCATAGTCATGTTGTTTATTGTTACATGTATCAATCTTGTCAGTTTGTTGGGTATGCTAAACTCCTGCAGAGTCTCAGACATTTTCTCATGATGATATCATAGGCCATTTTATAGTCCACATACAGGGATATTATATTCATAACATTTCTCCCAATAGGCATCTGATGGTGAAAATGTTATCAGTCAATTAATTATATTTATTTACTATCTTGTAGTTGACTTGACTTAAAATTCTGGAGTTCAATTCATAACTTATGTCATGAATTATTTGCAGGAACCAGGAAAGTTTACAAGAAAAAGAGGATGACCAGGAAGAAGTGGTCATGACAGAGGAAGATATCCAGGAATTAGAATACATTAAGGCAGGATACTCACCACGCATGTTCCAAGCAGAGGATCTCACCATTGATGCTGTTATTTATGATGAGGCAGATGACGCAAAGAAACTTGAATTAGCCAGGAAACAAGTGTACGCCACAGGCCGAGTCAGGGTTAGTGTGTTGTCATTAACTGCAAAGGCTGTTGTTTGCCAGATCTATCAAACCCATTTAAAAAATGTTTTGATAGTTGGTTTAAAATGATGGATTTAAGAGACATAAAATAATTATTTGTAAAAGGATTTTTTTTTTACTTCGAATTTGTTTCTTAAAATAAATGTTCAATATAATCACACTACTAGCACGAGCATTTTAAATTTTGTACCTATTAATAAATTAACTTTGTTTCTTGTTAGACTGATGGGGAGACAGAATTTGAAAAGAAAGCCAGAGAAGGAATGGATTTGGATGAGGCACAGTTTAGTGTTGAATTAAACCTGGAGCAGCAGTCATTCATGTGGTCCGATAAATATCGGCCTCGCAAGCCTCGCTTTTTTAACAGGGTCCACACGGTAAGGACTTTCATTTTATTCATACGTAATCAGTTGATATATTTTTAAGTTTTTGTTTTAAATGATAGCAATCATTTGCTGAATGTTTTGTTAAACTTATTCCTGTCATTTATCTTGTAATATTTCAGGGTTTTGAATGGAATAAGTACAATCAAACTCACTACGACATTGACAACCCACCTCCAAAGATTGTCCAGGGATACAAATTTAATGTAAAAGGAAACTCTTTAAAAAAATTTTGCTTCTGGTGTTTCCTCCTTCCCTAACCCCCCCCCCCCCCCCCCCCCCCCAAACATGTTTTATATTAATAGTAACGAGTGAAAGCTGCCACACATTGACAGTTGAACTCGAGTAAAAGGTTGAATTTTTTTGGATGCGACTATTATATTGATCATTGATGAACCACGGATATGGTGTAGGACTATTCTTTAAAGGCCGGCAGGTAGGTTATAGAGCTATCTGTAGGCCTATTGTTTAAAGGTTGACAGGTAAGATGTAGGACTGAGACTGTCTGTAGGCCTATAATTTATAGTAAAGGACAAGTTAACTCTTTTTTTTTTTTTTTTTTTTTTAACACTTGGACCCACATTTTTTTTTTTTTTTTTTTTTTTTGTAACACTTGGACCCACATGTTTTTTTTCTCAAAATACCTAACCAAGTGTAAAAAAAAAAACCTAGTAAATATATATTGTTGTCAAACACAGGATACATAATGGCAAATCAATTACAGCATTGCTTAAAGTAAAACCCATTTCCCTAAATCAATTTGAAGAATATGGTGACCTGTAAAGTTATTACATTTAATTACTCGGTTCCTCTAATTTCGTGTGCAATTTAAAGAAATAATAATTGAAAAGTCTGCAAGAATTTGTTTGTTTGATTTTTGTAAAGATTAATGTTAATAGTTTTAGTACATGTTATATTATGATAAATATCTGCTTTGATTCATCCATTTTCACACTTTATTATATACAAGTAGGAAATGATTCATTTCTTATTTCTTTACACACAGATTTTTTATCCTGACCTCATAGACAAAGCCAAAACTCCAGAATACTTTGTTGTAAGTTATCAAACCAACCCTTCACAGACATTGAGTTTCTGTTGCTCAGTTTTGTTTCCAAAATCATAATAATTTTGTTGAACTACTCCACAAGATATCACACGTCTTCAAAAGAAAACTAGAACTAGAAGTCAATAATTTTAATTCATGTCATTTTTTTTTGTGTGTGAAATAAATTGTGCTTGCTTTATATTTCTAATTATACTATTTATACTCTGTATCGTACATCTATAATAGAGTAAAGAAGAGTTGTTTTTTTTTAAATATTGTAAAATTCATATTTACAATATGAACTCCAATCAATGTTTAAAATTGTTGTTTTTTTGTTTTTATAGACACCCTTAGAAGGCAGCAAAGACTTTGCTATGTTAAGATTCCATGCAGGTCCACCCTATGAGGTAAGTAAGTTTGTGGCAATTTTTATTTTTTTTAAAAACATGTTATTTCATGTGCAATTACATTTATTTACTGTGAAAAACTTTTTTATAAGAAAATTATCCAGATCTTTTTTAAATGTTAATATTCTATAAAGTTTTAAAAAATATATCAATAAGGTTTTTAAACACCTCAAACTGTATCTTATCATTTTTATTATTTTGTCATTCATGTTTGATCTACCTAGGATATTGCCTTCAAGATTGTCAACCGTGAATGGGAGTACTCATATAAGAGAGGTTTCAGGTGTCAGTTCCACAATAACATCTTCCAGCTCTGGTTCCACTTCAAGCGCTACAGATATCGTCGATGATTTGGCACATTAAACTACATTTTTTAACATTGTAAATGTGATTTTAAATGCAATATAAATATAATTAACACTCAGAATGAAAGCTTATTTGTGTTATAAGTTTCAGTTTTTAGTATAGACCTCTTTGTATTTACGTAACATTCACACACAATTATATGTTTTCTAGCATTCATAAATCATGCATTTTTTAAAAATTAACAAAAGTGAGACGCAGTATACAAAATTATTTAATATCTCCCTTTCTCTTTTTTCAAAATGAAACTTATCTTTAGACTACCAGATCCATTTCTGTCTGCCAAGATGAGAGGCACAAATCATTAAAATTCAAAATATCATAAACTTTCTTCGGAGCCTGCACAGTAGCCAGATATTTATCAAGCTGTAATCCAAATCTTTGTCTGAGTGAAGAACTGCACCAGTCCAACAAAGGGCGGGGTTGGCCTGCCAAACTTTCTATTCTCTCTATTACTTCCTTATCCTTAGTTGGGTATTTGTGGGGCTCAATCCAGTCCATGTCATCCTCCAGGTTGTATCCTGCACGGAGAAGCATCAGGGCATTCGTGGTGTGGCCCTCCTCAAGACAAACTTGTAAACCTGAACCAAAGTGACAAGGGAAAGCTATAGGCTTTCCTAAACTGAGGAAAAGCTTCACAATGCCTGTATGTCCCTTGAGCAAGGCAAACCAGAGAGGTGTGATGTCATTAAAAGATTGTCTACAGTTTTCATGAATGTTGTATTCAGTCATGTCCGACTTGTAATGAAGTATTGTGTAGGTCATCTCCAAATCCCCCAGATAGGCTGCCATATGAAGTGGAGTGACTTGAATATCACAAGCTGAACATACACTGGACATTGAGGCCCGCCAAAATGTCCCAAAAGACAAACATTCACAGTTGGCATTAGCCTTCAAAAGAATTTGGAAAATATCTCGCCTCTTAAACATTACAGAACACAGCAGAGGTGTCACTGTATGTCCACAGCCTGAAAGTGTAAGGAAGTGCTTGTAGCTGAACAAAAATGACTATTTATATTTAGCTATAAAGATTTGCGGGGTAAATAACTTGCACACAAACTTTTTTTGTAACTAAATGAATATTTGGATCGGTTGATTTTTTAAAAAAGCAGTAAGAAAATCTTGACGGGTGTGCGTGTCATAATAATAAATACCTTATTTTCCTAAACAAAAAAAATCTTCTTGAAAGTTGGTGACCACTTATGATACATATTAAACAACACAATCACTACAGCAGTTACCCACCTTTAGAAAAAATAAACTGGCACTTAGTAAACTCTGGATCACTACAGAGAGTTCCACAAAATTTAGATAATGCATCTACATTCACATCTGCACCAGCTTTGATTAGTAGCTTTACTAAATCTGGCTGATTCATAACTACTGCAGTGACAAGTGCTGTACAGCCATCAGCATCTAAAGTTGTATTCACGCTAATTCCTTTTGAAATGAGCAGCTGCAGTACTTCAAGGCATTCTTTGAACAAAATAAATGCCTATTTTGAAAATTTAGTGATGATGATTTGATGCCTTTGTAAATTCTAACAATGTTGCGATATCTATATCAATTTGTAAAAAATAATAATTGATGTTGAGTATTTATAAACGATGAACATTCATTTGAAGATATAACTAGAAACATTTGGACAGCAAAATTTTATTTGAATGAATATAATTTTACAAAATACCTATGGTACCAAAGAATAGCAACAAACAATATCAGCAATTGAACATAACAGGTTTAATCATAATTATGAATTAAAATTTCTTTAATAATGTTGATTTTTGGGCTTCTTAGAACTAAAGACATGTACTTGCTATGTACCATTTAGAAGTACATGTATGGATCAGGATCATGGTGACTTACTTGGAGTAAATGTTTCTTGGAAAGCAAAATACAAAACACTCTGACCAAACTTATTTCTGGCATCCAATTTTGCACCGCCATCAATCAGGGACGAGATCAGTTCAATGTCTTGATCAGCTACTGCTTTCATCAGAAGATTACCATCTAAATTTGATGAACATCTTGAGTTCATTCCCAGGCCAGACTTCAGATAAATTTATGTTTCAAACTTTTGACCAGCTGAAATCGGGTATAATTTCTCTAAAATTAAATGTTGAAACTTTGTAGTCTTAAATCATTTTTATGTACCTGTACTGGACTGGGCTTTAAGAAATAATACCTGTAGTCTTAGTACCCTTTGCTTAAGGATTTCCAGTTTGTTTTTTTTTAAATAAACATTTTTGAATCGCGGTCTATTAGTAAGATTTCAGGGGTCCCAAAATACACGACTTATTTTCATGTTACTGTTTTAAATTTTCTTTTGACCAAAGAACTAATAGTTATAACTTAGACTTGCGAATCCTCACCGAAGTAAACAGCTAAGTATTTGTATTACATTTAGGATGTATAGATTATTTTTTATTCCACAGCCAATTCACAATTAGCATATGTCATATACATGGAATAATTAAACAGTAACATGAATATAAGTGTATTTTGGGTGGACATGGTCGATTTCAACTGACGAAGGATTTTATATTATTAATTATACATATATATATATCTATAACGCAAACGCAAATTCGACCATGCAAAAACACTTCTGAGAGAGTTGCATTGGCTGCCGGTGCGTGCTCGCATAGAGTACAAAATCGCAACTTTGTGCTACCGCTGCTTACATGACCTGGCGCCGTCCTATCTGAAAGAGCTGCTGACGATAGTGGCAAACTCTCGACACCACGTGTCTGCCTTGAGACTTACGGAAAGCTCACTTTCGCATTTGCTGGTCCAACAATTTGGAACGCCCTTCCTGTCGATCTTAGAAACAACCAGACACTGGAGTCCTTTAAAACCGATCTAAAGACACATCTATTTCGCAAATACCTTCTGGGATGAT